GTGTCAATCAATATCCTATGGCTGTTAAGAATTCCTAGGCTCTCATAATCCGTGTTAAGTCTGGTTTACTCTGTTTTGCAAATGCCAACTTTGTCAAAGAAAAGTAAAGACCACTCCTCCCTATAAATTTTATATATATTGTGCAAGGACGGACTTAAGATTGATTCCTGTTCATCTTCTAATCTGTTGAAGGATCATGAAATGGGCAACAGAAGAGGAAGAGAACGACAGTCAAGGGAAAAGGACTGTTCAAGTTGTGATTCTTGACATGTCCAGTAAGTGACTACAGGATAAATCAATAATGTGTTCATCCTAGCTAGCATTGTCATAAAACCCGGTGACCTGGAATTCAGCCTGGAACAGGTTTTATTTTGAACAAGTTTTTTTTACCAAAACAACATTATATCTAAGTTTTCTTAAAAAGCAAAGAAAAGAAAATCTAGTTGATTTTTCAACTCCCAAGTCAATCCATGATCATACCTAGCATTAGTTCTTATAACCATGCTAGCTAGTATTTTTTTTCTTTCTATAAACACACACACACACATATATATTTCTCACATAGTTATTTTTTTCATCTTTTTCTGTGTTGCATATTTAATGAACATTGATATGTCGGGAATAGCTTCCCTGTTGGAATTGCAAAACAATCTTGCCTATGGTGGAATGGAAGTCATACAATGATTGATGCGAATTCGCACTCCTAGTGTGTATTTTTCGTTATGCAAATTCGTTGTTCAAATTTCAAATCGTGGACCCTGTTTTGGTTTTGTCTCTCAGCTAGCCATAACAAAGCCTAAGTGGCAAGTGATTCACAAGCTAAGGCTAGCCAGCTTTCTGGCGAAAATGGGAGGAAGGGTCTTCTTGACAGTCGGAGAAGCTGTGGATGCGTGTCTGGGCGCCAAAATGGCTGCTGTTTAAGCACGTGTTTTCTAATTCTGCTAGCTTTCGTCTATCTTGTGTGATCTAGTCCCTCTTACCGGGATATATAACAAAGCGATGTTTTCCTCTCCTCCAATCCTAGGAGTTCTTGCAGGTCCAAGAGGGAAAGGGAAGCAGCAATTTGTGCTTCTGCTGGCATTAAGTTGTGATTTTATGCATTAGACTATGATTTAAACCCTACCCTTTTGTTATGCGAAATGAATTATAGGTTTCCAAGACAAATTTCAAACCCTGAGTTCGGATCAAAATGGCCCCATGGATCATACATACGTTCCGCCGGCAGTCAGGATCTTCTTCTTTTTTACTCTTATAGTGCCTCAAGTTTTCCATTTCACCGTTACAGCCTTTATTTAATTAATTTGGGCCAAGTAGTGATTTTAATATCGCATCGTATCTACATGATATCATTTTAACGAATCAATATGGCATGAGAATGCAACTGTGAATCAACGAATGATTATCTGTAAAGATTTTCGTAACATTTGTTCTTTGCATGACAATATATATCAATTATAAATACTACGAAGTACATTTTTGCAAGATTATTTGTTCTGTCTATGACAATACTCTTTGCTTGTTTATCAATATCGCTTCATATTGAAACGGAATTTGTCCTCCATTTCTTTCATGATTTATAAATTTATAAAGCTAGTGTAACTCTCTAGCCTGCCCCCGTCTTTTTTAATTTACAGAGGTTAAAAGCAATAGTTATGTCTGTTTAATTTGAATAAACACACCTTAATTTGCTTCTTCCAAGATGTGTCCACATATATTATATCTCAACAGTTAAGTGGTGATTGGTTGATGCTATTTACCAGTAATTATACTCTTCTAAAGATTGAAAAGCAATATTGCCTTTTTTTCTGATTAGTTCCCACTCAGCTGCCCTTTCAATGAATTCTTTTAATTTTAGTTTTCAACTCCCCAAAAAAGTTGCCATTTTGTCTCATTATTGTCTAGATTTATTGCGATGAACTCGGAAAACTTCAAATTAGATTTGGAATTTCCGCCATTATTTCTTGGGGTCAAGTGTTAGAACGGGCTATTCCATGCATGCTTTCTTGCAAAAACGAATCTCTTGTCAGGGTAGTAGATTCTTAAATGCTTAAACGAATAGATTGCAGGAGGGAAACAAACTATATATAATAAAGAGAATAGAGCTTAAAAGAGTGAATATTATGTGTTGTTATGATGTTTTCTTTTTGTGGTCCGGAGTTGCCTTATGTGTTTACCTAGCAACTTAGATATTTATACATCTGTATCAAAGGAGCTTATATCATGTAGCATGTTGTGGCCAACACCGTATAGAGTAATTATGAAGAACAATTGTGGAGGTGTTGTTATGAAGGGAGGGTTAGGCGCCTTGATCATTTATGGAAAGTGTTGGTGCTTACTGGGGAGAGAGGTTGGCGGGAATAGCCATTAACAAGAAATTAACAAGAAACGCAGGGGTCGTACCAATTAAAGTTGTCAATTCCACTATATATCTGATAAAGTAGCTGGTATGCCTCGTACTATTTCTAAAAACAGAAAAAAGGAAAGAAATCTTATCTTGCTTAGAATCTCGGGGCATTCTGGATTTCTCGTTTAAATTTCAGTTGAGATATTTCAGGCTTATTTTGTCTGTTCAATTCCGAACAAAAGTTCGACAAAATTGAAGTTCGACAAAATGATATTTCAGGCTTATTTTGTCTGTTCAACTCCGAACAAAAGTTCGACAAAATTAAAGTTTGATGCTTGTGGTGGTTTCTAGATGGGGGTGTTCATAAGTGCAGCAAATTCTGCTGCTTTTGTTATTACATTCACTGGGATCATTTACAGCCAGCAAATGATGATGATGATGTGGAGTTAATGAATTACTGTGGCATAAATGCTTAAAATTGAAACGGAATGCCTCTTATGTCACCTTTCTTTTGTGATGAAAATTGATCGATAATGTCGCAATTGAAACGGAATGCCTCTTATGTCACCCTTCTTTTGTGATTGGATCGATGATGTCCCTTTTGTGATTCCCACTCACTTTTTATCTGACTCAATTACTTGGCCTCTCACTTGATTTATTTACTTTAAGCTTTGAACTCCAGTCCAAAAGCTTGTCATTTTACCCAAAATTTGTCTAGATTGATTGCATCCTCAAACCTTTAGGTAATATTGAAATGAATACCTCAACACTTCTTTTTAGCTCTTGGCCGTGTTAGAAAATGACATAGAACGTCTAACAAGTTTTATCTCAAAAAGAAATTTGAACGTGTCCAACAGCTTTCTTGATAAAAATAGCCATAATTTTTTACTTGATTATGGGATTTAAGGAGTTTTGAAGACCCTATATATTCCCTATAAGAGTAAGAAGGTAGCTTCATCTCTGTTCATGAATATGTCCAAATTCAACCTAAAGGGATTGGGTTTCGACTGAGAGAGATAGATGAAGTGAAAATGTATTTGAGTGAGGGTTGTAGAGAAAAAAATAGGTGAGGGGGTTAGAGAAGGAGAATGGGACAATGTATTAGGATTAAATAAATAAATGAGTATTTAGATTGAACCGTGCTGGGAATGGTGATCTCTCTCAGAGTAAACAGTACTTTTCCCTTCCGAATTAGCTTATGTTAATATAAAAGGAAACCAAAAAAATTGGTATGGAATTGAAATAAAAAATAAAAGGAGGTTGAAATTAAAAAAAAAAATTGTGACTCAACATTTCACAAATCTATCACGAAGAAAAAGAATTCGAAAACAAGATTTGAGAGCACTGAATCTATGCATGGAAGAGCATGATAGAGCATAGCAAGGGTGGAACAAACCTCGAGAATATCAAAAAATTTGAATAGCTTCTTGTGAAAACTCTTTCAGGACTTTCCAATGAATTTCCTTCAGTGTTAATTCTAATGAAGCCAAAATCTGGAGCAATCTGAGAGATGAACTTAATTTACAATCTCCAATATATTGCCGAAGGCGCTGGCGTTGAGTTCCTATTCGTTGCTAAGAATTTCCCGGCATCTTAAAGAAATGCAGCCAAAATTACAGAATCTGCCGGCTGATTACCATCGAATTTTTTATCCTTATGAGAAGTGTAACGAAAAACTTCATTGGTACTTGGAAGGAAAGCAACAAATTACATTTTAGGGATGGATTCCAACGTTGAAGATTAGTATATCCTTATGAGAAGGAACTTCTATCCCCAGTAGGATTTTGATGAGCAATAACTATATTTTTATATTAGACACAAGTTGAGTTGCTTGAGAAATAAACTGGTGGATCATTGAGAAATAAATAAATCAATTAATTGAAGGAAGGACAGATAATCTTAGTTACAAAGATTAGATTTATGCTCTTCCAAGCTGAACCTTAAAGCCATTAGCCACTTGACATTTACAAGTCCCCAATTTCAAGCTGTCTGTGGAAAATTAGATTCGCCAAATATATGTTAACAGCCTTCTTCAGCATGGCTTAGTAAGTCGTTCCCATTTGTGATGATATCCACGTTATTGGTAAGGCAGCCGTTCTCTGCTATCCAACGTGAACTTTCTTGTACGTTTCTCTTGATGCATCCATCTTCACCAAAACAGAGAAAGTGATGCAAAATGAGCAGTAAAACCCTTGTTTCTTCGCTCATCTGAACAACGAATGAGAATGCTTGAGCATGTTGTTAAGAGATTTTGTCTCCTGGGCTTTACACAGCAATTTTCTCACTCCTTCTGTCATCTGTTTTTCATGCAATTCATTTTCATTATCAGTTCATACTTCGTATTACAGGTTGGACAATACTGAACATTAAAAGCAATGAACAAAGCAAACCTCTCCCACCCTTCCCCTTGTATAGGGAACTGTTCTTCGGTATCCAAGAGTAGTTGGAGGAGATTTCCGGCTATTTTCTTCCCTAAACACAAGTTTTCCATTACTTCTGCTTCGAGTTACCATTGTCGAAGGGTTGTGCCATTTGCCATTCATTACACTTGGAAGGCTTGATTCCTAAATCCATTTATAACTCCAAAATGTTAACTATGATGTGTATATAATTTTATAAATACTTAAGGAGTGTGTCGTAAGATTAATTGGATATATAGGGATGATGAAGATTTTCAAGGTTACCACGAATAAAACTGCTGCGCAATGCTTCAAGACCTCCAGATTCATACGCACATCTTCAAGACTCCTGTTTAATGCAGTTGTAAAACCATGATTACAAGTTTCTTAACAATACTTGTCCTGAAAAAAATGCGAGAGTACATACACGTCCACCTAGTTGAGACAAGACTTATTCATACCTGTGTTTTTGCTGGCCAAGCCCAAAATAAGTAGCCAAAGTTGCCATCTAAACGTAAAGCAAACAAATCAGGATATCAAAAACATCACGAAATTTTGTAAACACATCGCGGAGCTGCACTTGTAAGTGCAGATCTCATGATTGCTCAAATTTTACTACGAATGCTTCATATAAATAGAAAATGGCTCAAATTTGATGTAAGTGCAGATCTCATGATTGCTCAAAGTTTACTACGAATGCATACCTTCATGTTACCAGCTCTTCTGCCAAATGTTTCCGTCAGAACTCCTAAAGAATCAAACATTCCAACAGGCATTGGTGCAGGCCGACCAATCTCTGCAAATGCCTCCTTAATTCGGACACAGTCAAATCTTTGGATGTTATGTCCAGCCCATATTCTACCGTTCAAAATGGTAAATATTTTGTCAGCAACTTCCTCGAATGCAGGTGCATTTGCGACAGCTTCACGAGTTATCCCATCACATCGACCAGACTTCAATGCAACAGCAGACAAGTCCTTAGGTCTTATGAGTGTGCTATAACTATCTAGCTCAACAAGTTTCCGTGGACAAACTATTATTGCACCAAACTCCAGTACCCAGAACCGTTGTCCACCTTTATTGGGCACCGTTGTTTCTAAGTCGAAGAACACAATCTCTGGTGTGCTTACAGGACTGGAGGCCTCCATTTCTTGTTTATTTGTATTGTTATATCTGTTTTTGGATAATTCCGATTGCCTTCACTGTGTTATAAATAGTGGGGTAATAATAAGAGAGAGCCCAAAAGGTCCAGGATGAAGGAGAGAATTCTTCACTTGTGAGATTGATTGTCTTGTAGTTCACGTCAGGAGCTTAATTAGGCTTTCCATGGAGTCGTCTTTGTTTCTTGATGGTGTTTTGAGGAAATCATTTCCCTTTAGACAGGTACATCTTGTTGTAAGGAAGGACAAGAATCGCCTTCTCCGAAAGCTTTATACGAGACCTGTGTTAAAAGTTGAGCACCTTTTTCACCCACAAGGACATGCAAATTGAACGCGTGGAAACATTTGAAGCAAAGTTAATTTCCTGCCAAGAAAAGAATTGATTCCCCGTTCCCTAATGCTATGAATCTTTTCTGACCAAAAGAAGGAAGACAACTAGAGGACGCCAGTCATGTAAATAAAATAGATTTTATAGTCCTCGTTCTCTGCCTCAATAAAGACAGCAAGCTATACCTGTAACATATTAATGATGCCAGCCAAGTTGCACCTTTATTCCTCCCTGTCAAATATTGGACCGACACAACAAGAAGGCTTCCTTTGAGCCTCAATCCAAGCTTTTGTATTGTTATAGTCTCTTTGTTTGTTGAGCATATTCCTGTATACATGTATGACATGTCTTGCCATTTCCTACTAACTTTATGAAAGCGAGCTTGCCACAATTGAGAAACAATCTCACTGAATAAATACGAGACAAATGTCATCCAGTTACAGATGCAACAATTTTATAGTGGAACGCAAATACTGTACAGAGACATTGGAATTCTTCCACATCTTCCCTCAACAAGGCTAGTGCAAAACCAATGATCATAGCAAACAAATGACCCTCAATGACAATGGTATTTTATTTGTAACAATCAATAATGAAGTGCCCATTTTTTTAATCCCTAAAAGAGTACAACAATTGCAATTCATCTACATTAAACAGGGACGGCAGACTTGAGTGGGAGAAGCGCTTTCTTAATTCTCTCTACAGCTGCCTGTAGGGTGGTCAGAGAAGCTGCATAGGATATACGTATGCAGCTGTCATCTCCAAATGCAACCCCTGGGACTAATGCAACCTGTAAATAAGCAAGCACAATCAAATTATAAAGAGCTTAAGTAGCGCAATAACAGCTGCATGCCATGTTACTTAAACTGTAGCTTCAAGTTTCAACTGCATCATAGTGTTATCTAAAAATATTCAGCTTTCACAACATTGGTGAGACGAGTAGTGAAACATTGCCAATCAAAGGTAAACAGGATAATCTTCTCTAAAAAGGGATACCTGGGCCTGATCAAGCAAGTAACGGCAAAGGGCGTCAGAGTCGTCAATTTTACCAAACCCTTCAACCTCTGCTCCATAGTACGAGCTGAAATCAATGAAAAGATAAAATGCTCCCTGCATGTAAAACCAATTAGAATTAGAAGCTGATGGAATCACTAGGAAAATGGGAGGTCTTAAGTATATAATAACTGAAAGGCAGTACCAGAGGCTCCGACAACCCAACACCTTCCATTTCTCCAAAACTTTTAATCAAGAAATCTCTCCGCTCCCTGAATGCTTTCACCATGGTGGACACTGCTTCCCCACCAGCATAGCCTAGTCCTAATGCTGCAACTCCTGCCTTTTGCGATATGCTGCTAGCACCTGAGGTAAACTGGAAAAATATAGCACACGGATCAACTGGAGCTTGTACAAAGTCATTGTTTAGATCACAAGCATTACAGGAATAGGCATATCAGTGCATTTTGCAAACCAACAAGGCAAGACACGAAAATTCTTAATGAAAAGTAATAATCATGAAGAGTTGCGACTGCAGCCCCATGCAATCGCCAGTATGGCGTCAACATTTACCAGGCCAAAATGGGCTATGAAAGCAGGTATGAATTATAGACTGTTATTGACTTACAAGTCTTTCTCATGTCAAGCACTTTTGTGATTAGTGAGGTCATTACATATTGACGAGTGCTTAATCTGTAAGACAGATTGTGCGTAGAGGTCACAGGAGTATTGATTTCTCTCAAATGCCTTTGGGAGATATAAAATGGCATAATAAAAAATACAGACTTGACAATTTGGATTGGTTACCAGGTGCAAGTTTCATTTTGTGTCTTGTAGGCTTTAATCACAAAACAATCAGTGAAATCTGTCCATCTAAATTAGCCATTCATCTGCTTCTTTAGAACCCTGAACTTCACCTTACCCCTTAAAATATTAACAAACTTTCTTTCCTCTGAGTGTCCAAACTATCTGAAATAAGTTCAGATTGGCTACTTCTACCCTTGCAGAAAATCACTACTATTTGATTGACAATTGAAGCCTATTTGATCCAGCATAGTATTTGGATGGTAAAAAAATCTATGTGATTTTGAGATCTAACTTCAAAACATGACATGCAAATAGATAAAATACTGGAAAACTAGTTGTAACAATCACAATTGATGCTTTGGATAAACGAAAACTTCAGAGTATGCATGATAGACTCAATTCATTTAAATTTCTGCAGATTGAAGGCTGCAAGGCGGGTCATAGAATACCTGGCTCTGTATCTTATTGCATGCAGCAACAAAGTGCTTAGGGCCGGCAAGGTACCCAAGTCTCCAACCAGTCATTGCAAAGGCCTGCAAATTTCCCACTTTTTAAATGTTACCTAACTGAATGAGGTAAACTGCTTCAGGTTTTATTTACAATCACAACCACATCAAATTATGCATGGCATATCATATTATTGATGACAAGAACACAAAAGCAGATATTTAGGACCAATAATCAAATGTAAGATTAAGCTACCTTAGAAAATCCATTCACTGTCAAAGTCCTTTCCCACATGCCGGGCAAAGATGCAAAGCTTGTGTGAGTAGCAGGTGCATATATTATGTGTTCATATATCTCATCAGACAAGACCTGAGTGAAGCACCAAAGAAGCTCAGCATTTAAATATCAGAAAAGCATAGGACTTGCAATTGGGATTCATTAATCATACCAGAAGCCTAGGATGTTTTGCTACAATTTTTGCAATCTCTTCAAGCAATTTCTTAGGATAAACTGATCCTGTTGGGTTAGATGGAGAGCAAAGAATCAGCAGCCTTGACTTTTCATTCAGTTTTGATTCAAGTTGCTTTGGGTCCAAGAGAAAATTCTCAGAGATTGATGTTGGAAGAATCACTGGGGTTGCATCAGCCAGCCTTGCCATTTCAGGATAACTCACCCAAAATGGTGCTGGAATTATAACCTGAGGGTAAGACAGTTTTTATAAATATGAGCTAACTTAAGAAATTACACAGCTTCAATGGTAATGAGCTCCTACTGTATTTAATTAAGAACAAGACTTTGATTGCCTAAATGAAAATAAATGCAATTTTCACAGAATATGCAAACAAATAAGTGTAACACATGCTCAGTATTCCCATTTCTTTCACACACTTGCCATTAGGCTATTAGGCTGACAATTAAAGACATGGTAAATCATCCTGAAGCCACATACAAGCTATTTCATTTCACACATCAAGATTCTCTCATCTTTATTTCTTTCCTTCACCTTCTCTATCTTGTCTTTTTTTACTATGAATTTACACTGCATAGGCATTTTAGATTTGACTGGATTATTTTTTTAAAAAAAAAAATATCTTATAAAATTTAGAAAACCATAGATCTATATTCAACAAGAGTTAAGTTGATCCGGGGTTACAGATACAGGTAGCAAATGCTACACATAGCCCAACACTCAATTGTAAAAAGGCAGCATTCCAATACCAAGTAGTTAGTAGCAGAAATGCAGAATAACACCACAATGCTGATTATTTTGAAATAAAAAACTTCACCTCATCGCCAGGAGAGCAAACTGCAAGTATCGCTTGATATATACTCTGCTTGGCACCATTGCTTACTAAAACTTGGTCAGGTTTATAAGATATACCATTCTCCTCTGCCAAAAAAAAAATAACGAAATCCATAAAAAAAAAAAAATGTAAGAAGTCCCATCCTGGAATGCACCAAGCATATTAAATAAATCACAAACACAAAATTGCTTAAAATATATATTTACCCTTCAATTTCTGACAAATTGCAACTCGAAGCTCCTGTGTACCAGCATTTGGAGTGTACCTTGTGTGACCTTCACGAATAGCATTTATACCAGCCTAACGTTTCCACAATAAAAAAAATATGCAATCAGTTTAACCAACCGGAATACACTTCAAAGCATATCACAGACATGAATCAAGCACCAACAAGGAAAAAGAAAACGAATCACCTCTGCTATTACAGCTGGAGTATCAAAATCAGGCTCTCCAGCAGCCAGGCGAATAACAGGGACTCCAGCTTGTGCAAGCGCAGTCGCCTGGTCAGTTATGGCCACAGTCTTTGAAGGTTTTACAGCAGTCACCCTTGGACTCAAAGAAATATCGACTTGCATCTCCTCAGACCTACTTTCTGCCTTCACCACTACACTTATTCTAGACAACTGTGATTGTCTAGTAGCCTCCAATGGTCTATCAAGATACACATTACAAGCGTTCAGAAAATAATTGTGATATAACGTTACCAACAACAAAAGGCACACGAAACAGAAAGACCAAAATAACTTCAAATAATATTAGTACACTAAACTTCACATAACAAAATTAGCAAGCTCTTAAATTTAATGTATGAACATGGGCACATTTCCTTGTATAAAGAAGCTGGCTTTATTAGTCAATATCAACAACCATTTCCAGTAAACACGAACTAAAAAGTAAACAAAACAAACCCATATTCGCCATGTTGTAACACAAAACTATCAATACAATGCTGATTAGTTGCAAAATTGAATGCAGACGGAGGAATTGACTCACTTGAAGTAGAAACAGTGAGACCCAGAATGGACAGAGACAGATCCGGCGGGTTGAGAGCGGGAACCCGGATTGGTTCCGAGAGGTTGGTGGTGTCTAAAACCAAGACGGGAAATGCTTGAAGTTGAAGCAGCCATGGGTGACGGAAGGTTGGCGTTTAG